ATTGGATGGGGCAACTATTTCTTGGTTGATACATCCAACTTTTTAGCTGCATTACATACATAGCTGGGGTACCTTTTCGCATGGAAACAGTATCCAATAGTTGGATGTGCTAACCAATTAATTGGATCGCGCTATAGCAACTATTTAATTGGTTATGGCAGCTAACTCTTTTTCTGAGTGTATAATAATTATTATAAATTATTACAATTTTTCAAATAATTTTATAAATTTTCTATTTTGAGAGAAGTTTTTTCTACAAAATCTGATATGATCTTTAAATAGCTATTTATCAAATAAATAATGAGTCCTTGTTTCAAAGAAATTGATATCTTTATCGAATGGATTATAAAACTTACTAAGCATTCTATTTTGCTGGAAAATTTTTAACTTTATCACCTGCTTTATTTATTACTTGATTATTTTCTGTTGCTTTTATTTTTAGAGACAAAGAAACTTTAATTTTAATTATTACTACATTTATAAAATATTAAAGTAAAAAAATAAAAATCAACAAATGAGAATATCGGATAAACAACCAGCTTGTCTGGTTGGATTTCAGCGAAAAATTGAATAATATATAGGTAGAAGAGAAGATTTCTTTGATTCAGATTATTTTGATTTTTAAAATAAGTTTTAAAATTAATGTTTTTTATTAAAAAATAATTGAGTATTTTTTTAATAAGCATTTAAAATAATATTTTTGTTTTAATTTTCAAAAAGAAGAACAGCATTATTTATTATTAAAAATACCTGTTATTATTGTGTTGTGTGTGACTTAGGTCAGTGATGCGACAGTTGTATAAAGTTACAAAACACGCATTTACAGATAATTGGTTTATTGTTTTCAGTCTTTAAATAACATTCCTGATTTTAAAACAAATTATATAATAATTATTAATTTTCTCACCCGCTGCTTGTGAAATTCTATTTTAAACCTCTTTTGTTTCCAATAAATTTACAATTTTCACTAATTAGGGCTTCATAAAAAAGAAAATTATAATAAAAATACCTATAGCAATAAAAATGAATATTTAATTAAATTATTAATATATGATCTTTTAAGCCCAAAAATGGATTGAATTTTTGAAAAACACGTTTCAGCTGTAAGTGCTTTAAGACTTTGTTTTTTAAGAGAATTATTTCTTTTAGATTTATTTTAATTAAGTATTTATTTCTATTTAATAAATTAACCTCGATAAAAAATATATGACAATTGATTATTTGGCTAATTGCCAAATTTCGCATAACGCAGTTTCGTATAAACAAGAGATTGTGTCTACAGTAATAAGACATTGACTGTGGTTTATTTGTTATTGTTATTTTTCGTACTCACGTAATACCTCTTAGCATATAAATTGTATATGCGAATGATTGTTTCATGTCAGGGTTAATAGATCATTCATGCTGATCAACGCGTGCAAACGAGTAGCACATCATTTTTTAATTGTTGATAAAAATAATAACACATTGTAGTAGACAGTTAATGATAAGAGAGACGCACTGCATCATAGGGATAGTCTTTATCTCATATATATGTATTAATTTAATCGTGACATAGAACGGGAAGAAGTTACTTCTCCAAACGTTTGACCTTAAGACTTTAAGATAAAAATCTATTCAACACACATTGCATTAAATGCAATCGAAAATACATTTTTACTCTTCTTTGCATTTTCTCGTCATTTTGTTTATTGATTTTTTATTTGGATGTACATTTTTTCGTAAATATTGGCTGCCATTTTTTATTCTTTGATATGAGCAACGTGATAGTCACGCCGGTTATCGAATTTTTATTATTGTAAACATTAAACTCTCGTACGCAATATTTCTAATCAGACTCAGTTCAAGTGGCAAAAAATCATCGAAAAATGTAAATACTATACCAGTTTGAACTTGTATGATATAGATTGTCAATTTTTTTATAAATTTCTTTTTCAAGGTTCAAGTATAGCAGATAATTTTTCTTTCCTCCATGAGGAAATATTGCAACTAAAATTCGTATAGTTTTTTAACAAAAATAAATTTCAGAATTTGTATATTAAAAAAATGTTCAAGTTCTGATTTTTTAAATTAAATTTTAAAAAGTACAGCAAAAAGTTAGAAATGCTTTTCTAATTATTATTTTAAAGAGATGCTTTCATTTCTTTCATATATAAGAATTGAAAAATTTTCTTTTTTTGACAAAAATTTTAACAAAATAAAAATAAATTTGATTGGCATTATTTTTTTAAATGAAAAATCATGAAGAGGTGATAATTAACAAATAGAAAGTTGAATCACGTGTAAATCTGCAAATTTTTTCGACCTCAACTATAATACAAGTGTCAAGTAGAAATATAAATAAAAAAAGATTCCACAATTAAATTACTTGAGAATTAAGGAAAATTTGACAAATTATACAATTTTTCACTTTTAACTCCAAACGTACGAAAAGTTAATTTTTCATTGCAATATTTATTTGAATCTCGAGAAAATTGTTTCACGTGTATAAAAAAATAATTAAAATATAAATACAAAAAATTGACATTCTTATAGAACAGTGATTATTAATTTGCACGTGACGATTATTCATATAAATTGTAAGAATAATTTGTAGATTAAACACGAATTCTCAAATAGACAGAATCTACGTACGTAATTTCTCATTTTTCATTGTTATCTTACCCGGTGAAAATCTTATATGTTTGACGCAAAGATGAAATATTTCAATAATTTTAATTGTTATTAAAATTGAATTAAACAATTATTTTTCTCGTAAAGATTATAAAAGTGTCTATATAAAAAAACGCAAAAAGTAATCAAAGTCCGAGTTTCTTAATTCGAAAATTTTCCTATTGTGACAAATATTCAAATAAGCGGATGATGCAGCTGGACCATCACTAATATAATCTGTTTTAATCTGTCTCGTGGAAGATTTATATACTATGAGAGCATATAATTTTATTTGTTATCGTCGCTAAAGTTTCATTGAATTGGATTATCCCTTTCATATAAAAAACAAGATTAGAAGGTTTTTCATTAATTTCAATGTAATTAAAATTTTCATTTTAATTTTCAATTCTAAGTAGAATTTGTTTTGCATTTTTGTTTTATATTCTTTTAGTAAGAAAAAAATTGAGGCCTGAAAGGGGTAGCAAGTAAAATTATTTATCTATTTTGTTTATATTCAGCAACTTCTTTTGTTAAAGAAACGGAATACCTTTCTAGGAATCGTTATCATTATGACAATAAAATAAGATAACGCGATAATTGATGTACACTCAAAGCTTCTGATCTTTGCATCAGTTTTTTCGCAAAACAATAATAATTATAAGATAATAATAAAAATAATAATTTTAATAATACAATAATATTAAGAATCAACGTTTTCTAATTTTTTTAATTACCAATTTTCAAAAATTATATCCACTACTTTATGAGAATACAAGAATTAATATTTAAAAAAATAATTGTTTCATATTTTTTTATGTTGGGAAATCTTTTATATACAACTGAAGCAATCTGTTCTTCTTTTATAGATGACTAACCAAGTAACCATTGTCCCAGTTGATTCTAGTGCAATATCTAATGATATATTTTTATTATTATTCTTATTTCATGTCTTGTTATTTAAAGAAATAACCCAACACTAACATTTTCAACACGACACTTGACACTCTGTAGATGTGCCAATGTTATTGTCTAGACGTAGAGACCTAGAATAATTAGACTGTTTAGGCGAACCCCTAGAAATTAGATGATTCACAGGTGTCTCCAAATATTTTATATGCAGTGCCGCTGAATAAATTTTGCCCACCAGACAGCGATTAAAATCATTATAAACAGTTTTTTACATTGTTTATCATTAAAGTTACGAATATCGGTATAAAGTATTATTTGAAAGCTCCTTTTTAATTATTGACAACAATTTTAAAAAATACGTTTTTTTTAAGTTTTGCTATTTACATCCTATACAATAGTGTTAATAAGCTTAGGAAATGAGTTTTCAAATATTTTTCTTCATTGAGTTTCGTAACTTTAATAATAAACAATATACAAAACATTTTATAATGCCTTTAATCACTGTAGTGATTAAAGGGCAAAACTTTTTACTTGCTGTCCAAAGTAAAAAGCTAGTAACCGCATTTTCCGTAAGGTCGAAGTTCACTTAGGTTATAAACAAATCACGACCTAACGGAAAATGCGGTCACTAGGTTTTTACCGTTTTTACTTTATGCAGCAGAGAGTTATTGAGCGGCACTGTACTTGAATTATTTCTAAATCGCATTTTCAGCTTGCAACGAATTTTCCAATAAAAAAGCATCTTGATTTCTGACACAAAAGCAAGATTCAGATGAATTTTATCTTCTTTGTCCAAAACAAGAATAACATTTATTAGAATCTCGATAAGAAAATGTGCGTTGGTTGTAATAGAATTTTAAATATTTTTTTACATATTGTTACAGATGTAAAAGAAGTAATAATAACAATCGTTGCACGCTGATGCAATTGATTGAATGATTGCATTGACATTATTGTAAAAATTTAGCTCTTGTTGATAAATTCAACTAGAGTTGAATTTATTATTATTCAAATAAAAAAATTATTCGCATATTATGATGAAAACCCATTTTTATTTTCTATTTCTAGACTTGTAATATGTTAAAATCTTATTAAAGTAAATAATTTACTTGCTTACTTTTTAAGATTAATACTTGATTTAATTTTTGGAACATTTTAATTTTATGTAAGTTAATGAATATGCCAAATAATTATTTAATTATATTAAATAAATTTTTTAAATACATTAGGTATACAATGTAGTTAATGTTGAATATCGTTACCTTAATCTGCAAACCTCGTGACTTCGTTTGAGAGTTTGAATTGCGATTTTTTGACATTAAAAAGTAATTTTTGACCAAAATTGAACTTGCGAGACTTGCAGATTAATATCTGCATAATTATAGAATGAAGGAAAATTTGAGAAGAAAGAGAGTAATGTTTTCTTGTAAATTTTGCAGGTGCTGTCTATGAGTGAAGAGCTCAGAAGGGCCCTTTATGCGAATAGTGCAGTCTCTTTGGACACGGAAATTATTGTTCCAGATCTAGTCGGTACCACAGAAATACTCAGTGATGATCACAGAGAACATCTCTGTCGGCATTTGCCAGCCAGGGCGGAGGGCTATGTTTGGACTTTGGTTTTCAGCACGAGCCAACATGGATTCAGTCTCAATAGCATGTACAGAAAAATGGCCAAGGTTGAAAGCCCAATTCTTCTCGTTATCGAAGATACCGAGGGAAATGTGAGTTATTTTTCCTTTTATTTATATATATTTCTCTTTTTTATCATATCATTCCTTTTCAACTTAAAATTAATCTGGTTTTTTAAGTCACTTGAATTTATAATGGTTTTCAAGAAAGAAAAGTCAGTCGTTTACGAGCATTAGATTCCTGTTGATTTCTTATAGATGAGAAATCTTTGTTGCTATTCATTTAACTTTTTCTCTCTCTTTCTTTTTGAATAGATTAATATGAAATTCTCCAATCTTTCGATTTACATTAATTACCAAGTGGAAAGTAAAGAAAACAAAGCTTGTATTAAAAATTAATAATTCAATCCATCTTATTCACTCAGCTTGGCAGCTTGCATAATGATTAAATTGTGCAACGTATCCATTTCCTTGTTGCTTTTTTACTTTCACATAAATCCATATTATAACTCAAGCACAAGATAATGTTAAAAATTAATATTTTAGATAAAGCTTTGAAAAACACGATTTCAAATCTGTTCTAAGAATTAAGATGAATTTTCAATTAAAATGCAAAAGAAAAAAAATTAATTTTACCCAAAGATTTTGAAATTTCTTTTTATTTTTACTTTTTAGTTTAGAAAAAATATTTTTTATATCGCTTCCCGAGTCAAAATTTAGAACTAAAAGAGAGTTAAAATTTTGACTCGGGTTAGTTAATTTTAAATTTAATAAAAATAATGTTTTAATCTTTTAAAATTGTTTTTCCAGGTGTTTGGAGCATTAACCTCTTGTTCTTTACATGTAAGTGATCATTTCTATGGAACTGGAGAATCCCTTTTGTTCAGATTCACCCCGAGGTTCCAGGCCTTCAACTGGACTGGCGACAATCTTTACTTTATCAAGGGAAACAATGAGAGTTTAGCAATCGGCGCTGGAGAGTAAGTTATTTACTATATTTTCACTCGCTAGATTTTTTGTTTTGTTTTACGAAGGAAGTTGGAAATCTGTTCATCAGATCCCTCGTGGCCCGTACCACGAGTTTTGCAGGGTTGAACATTGAGCCGCGTGTAGCATAGGCTAAACTAAGTTTAGCTTAGGCTCTATCGACCTACTAAAACCAACTCCCTATTTCCAGGACTCTATTTCCACTTGCGGAACTACCTAATGGCTTTACTTCGCAAGTGGAAGTCCTCTCTCTTACTCCTCTCTGTCCATTGTTAAAAAACAATCTTTCCATTAACCACCGGGGGGGAGCCGCGGGAGTGGGAGGAGGAACGAGAATTAGTTCCTCCTCCCCCTCCCGCGAATCGTCCCCAGTGATTACTCCAGGTTAACCTCTTCTTCCATCCACATCTTTTATCTTCATTACCGAGGTAATGAAGAACTCGATGTGGCGCCAAGAGTCCGCGCTTTGAAGCATAGTTGAGACCATGTCATCAGCGGTGAATTGAGTTTTCACCGCGTCAAACATGGCCCGTCTTAGCTCACTCCATTGCCCGCAGGAGAAGAGAGTGTGTTCCGCGTCGTCTATTTCAGCGCCGCAATACACACATTTCGCCTCTTCTCTTATCTTAAATCTATGAAGGTACTGACCGAAGCAGCCGTGACCAGTCATCGCCTGCGTAAGGTAACAGCCAACCTCGCCGTGCTTTCTTTCTAACCAGGTGGCGAGGTGGGGAATCAGGCGGTATGTCCACCTTCCTTTGGATTCCCCATCCCATCTTGCCTGCCAACTATCGACTAGTCTGATTCTTGCCGATTTGCGGATAGCCATCTTTAGGCTACCGCCGCTCTGTTGTTCCTGCGAGACAACTCGTTCTTTATTGAGCTGAAAGACTTCCTGTCTTTCTTTTGCCAACAAATCTGTTGGCGGTGTACTTGCAAGAACTAGAGCAGCGCAATCAGACACCGTCCTGTAGGCTGAGATTACTCTCCATGCGCTCCCTGTCTGCACAGAGAGCAATCTGTCCAAGATGGCGTGGGTCTTAAAGGCATCAGCCCATACAGAGTCAGCATAAAGCTGCTTTGCTAGACCCACGGTCGCCACCAAGCGCCGCTTCTTTTCCCTAAGATCACCAATGTTGGGCATTAACCTAGATAGGTTACCCATACATTCAGCGGCCTTGAGTGCTGTGATGTTCACGTGAGGACCGAAGCTTAACCTTCGGTCCAACATCACTCCCAGGTACTTAAGTTGATTTCCCCATGAGACTTCAGTTCCACCTATTTTCACCTTTGGGGCTTCAAAAACTCGCCGGACTGTAACAAGCAGAGCCTCTGTCTTCTCTAAGGCCATTTGCAGGCCATGACGAGACAACCAACGCTCTACTTGTCGCAGACCTTCATCGAGTTTTATCTCGAGGAATTTGGTTTCCTGCGCTCTACACACCAGAAGTACGTCATCCGCAAAGGCTTTCAGGATCGTATCTTCGGGCAGCTCCATTCTCAGGAGATCGTCGTACATGACGTTCCATATGAATGGACCCACCTTAGACCCCTGTGGTGCCCCGCAGGTCATCTCTTCCTTGAGATGGAACACATTGCCTTCGTACACGACCCATCTGTCACTGAGATAGTTGTCTATCATTCGCAACAGATAAGTCGGCACTCCTTTGCGTCTCATCGACTCAATGCAGATGTCCCATCTCGCGGAATTGAACGCATTCCGGATGTCGATGGAAACAAGAGCACAGAAACCCTTCCTCTTCCCCTGATTGACTTCCTTTGCCAGTTTCACAACAGAGAGTATTGCATCAACTGTTGACCGGCCTTTCCGGAAGCCAAACTGGTTCTCTGATAGGCTATTTTCGCCTACCAGGATTTCCTGAAGTCTTTCTAGAACCATCCCCTCTAGAAGTTTGCTCATCGTGTCCAATAAACAAATTGGTCTGAACGATGAGACTTTATCCAGAGGTTTATCGCCTTTCCTAAGGAGGACCAACTTTTGCACTTTCCAGTCACTGGGGAACTCTCCGGCTTTTAAACACGCATTAAAGACGTTGAGGCCGCAGTCCCATGGCAGCGTTTTGCTTTGCGTTGTAATAAGAGAGAATACAGCAAACGTATATTTGCGTCTTTTTCTCTCCCATTACGACGTAACGCAAAACGCTGTCATGGGACTCCACCCTGAGAAGCAACTCTGGGTATACCGCGACGACTTTTTTTTAATTAGATATGGGTGATTCTACAAAAGAGGGAATTTTGATGTCTGAAGCATGTTTTGTATATTAATTTTGGAAAGAATAATTTTACTTTTAATGGAAATTGTAAATCTTAATGGTTTCTATTATGGCACAGAAAAAAAACCGATGAGAAAAAATATTTTTTTGCAAAAAATACACATTATAGTGCTAAATTCTCATTCGTCTAGCATGTCCCTTTGGGAGAATGACAGTTCATATTGAGAATAAATATCACTTTTCAAATGTTTTGCGGAAATTTCATACTGAATTAGTAATTTTGAATAGTTGTAGATTACTAATATGAAAATAATTATGACGTTTCTCTATATCTTATTTATAAAATATGTTCGGGAAGTTTGTCCCCTGAATTTTTTATCATTCGTCTGGCAGTGCAAAAAATGTAAAAATTATTAAAAATCAACATTCTGATGAAGTGACTGTTAGTTGTAGTTGTTAATCAAACTAAACTAAATGTGATACCAATCGGGTTTTATTGAATCTTCTAATCTATTAACCAAGATTTCTCAATTTGTGACGGAGATTGTGTTGTGACCAGACAAATTCTCATTCGTCTGGCATACATTTTTTAAAAAAATATTTTATTTTTTGGTTATTCCATAGACTTATGTTTTGTAGATTATTATTCTCTATAAGATAGTACTGAAGGATTTTTTCATTTAATGTTATTTTTCTATTTTTAGGGTTCCGTACCCCGGTAGGAACCCTATTGGAACGGTTACAAAAATGACCATGTACCCCCCCCCCCTAGCACTCACAGTTTTACACCTAGAGAGCTAAAATTTCGTACACGTATGTATTTTCACGCGTAGATTACAGGAAAAATATAGCGAACGTGATTGGGATTGATCTTCATAGAGTTTTCGACAAAAAACATCAAATTTTGGCCATTTTTCGCAAAAAAAGGCATGTACCTCCCCCCTAGCGCTCACAGTTTTTTACCTAGAAAGTTGAAAATTGGTATGCATATGTATTTTCAAAAATGGATTAAAGGAAAAATATAGCGAACACATTTGGTATTGATCTTCATTCTGTTTTTATTGAAAAAGTCAAAAATTTTGAAAATTTCGAAAAAAATCCATGTACCCCCCCCCCCCGCTGGTGCCTACATTTTTTTACCTGGAGAGCTGAAAATTGGCATACTTATTCGTTTTTACGCATAGATTACAGGAAAAATATAGCGGAAGTTATTAGAATTTATTTTCATGGTGTTTTCATCGAAAAACTAAAATCTCTTTTTGGAAGCTCGAAAATTCTTTAACCCTTGCTGGTTCTCTGAATTCTTAATCTAGTGGACTGGCGTTATACATTTTTATTTATTTTTTCGTGTGGATTTCAACAAACATTCAGAAAAAATTATTGGAATTCATCTTCATATTTTTTTTGCGAAAAACTAAAAAAATTTTTCGTTTTAAAAAAAAAGTGTGTACCCCCCCCCCCTTGGTTTTCACAATTCTTGGCCTATTGGACTGCAGTTTTGCTTATTTTATGTATTTTCGTGTGTAGATTCCAGGAAAAATATAGCGAACATGATTGGATTTGATCTTCATATTATTTTCAGCGAAAAAATCAAAGTTTTTAAAAATTTCGTCAAAAAAGCGTGTATTTCACCCTAGCACTCACAGTTTTTTACCTAAAGAGCTGAAAATTGGTACACTTTTGTATTTTCACGTGTAGATTACAGGAAAAATATAGTGGAAATGATTAGAATTGATCTTCATTCCGTTTTGAGCGCAAACCTAAATTTTTTTTTCAATTTTTGATAATAATTATAACCTATGCTAGTTCCCTCAATTCTTAGTCTAGTGGACTGGCGTTATATATTTTTATTTATTTTTTCGTGTAGATTTCAACAAACATACAGAAAAAATTATTGGAGTTCATCTTCATATTTTTTTTTGCGAAAAACTAAAAATTTTTTTCGTTTTAAAAAAAAAAGTGTGTACCCCCCCCTTGGTTTTCATAATTCTTGGCCTATTGGACTATAGTTTTGCTTATTTTATGAATTTTCATGTGTAGATTTCAGGAAAAATAGACCGAACATGATTGGATTTTATCTTCATATTTTTTTTAGCGAAAAACTCAAAGTTTTTAAAAATTTCGTCAGAAATGCGTGTTTTTTACCCTAGCGCCCACAGTTTTTTATCTGAAGAGACGAAAATTGGTTATTTATTTATTTTCACCTGTAGATTACAGAAAAAATACAGCGAAAAATATTGGAGTTGATCTTTATATTTTTTCATCAAAAAAGTAAAAGTTTTAAACGTGGGTACGGAACCCTCGGTTTTAGTACGAGTTCTACTCGCACTTGTCCGGTTTTTTTTAAACAAAAAATGCCAAATTCTCATTCGTCTGGTTCTCATTCGTCTGGCACTTTTGAGATAGGATGTATACTATATCACTAAAAATAGCGTAAAACTAACAATTTTCAACTATTGTTCGATTTTCTGGTCTTAAAATAATCCTAATTAAATTTGTAAGAAATTGCTATAACTGAATTTTCAATTTTCATTTCGCATAAATAATTATATTGACATAAACAAACAAATGGAATAAGTATTTTTTTATATGAATAAAGTTTAGCCCACTAAAATCAAAGTAGTTCTTTATTATTAGACACTTGAACTTACTTTTACAATTCTATGATTTGTGAAATTGTGCTTATAGAAACAAATAGACCATCCGTAATTTGTTATAAACAATTATTAATTAAATTACAACCAAAATTAATTAAACCGATGACTTTTATTGATCCTCGTAAAAATCGTTACTTGGGGGTTTTCGGGGTTGCTGATTAAGAACCTAATGTCAGTTTTTAAAATTTTTTAATTCAAAATGGCGGATCCAATATGGCCGACGATTTTGGAGAAACTTAACATATTCGTCTGAAAATCGTTACTCGGTGATTTTCTGTTTCGCTTATTACCAATCCGAGGTCAACTTTTTTCAAATTAACCATTGTTTTTACAATTTGTTTAAACAATTTAATTATGTTTTTTAGTTCTACTACTATATTTATAGTTCATACATGTATAAAAATAAATAAATAAATTTTAAATAATTTTTAATAATCATAATTAATTAATTAATTACAATTTATTATTATTATTATTAATTATCAATTACTTAAATAAATTAAATAAAAATAAATTAATAAATTATTAAAAAGTAAATTCAAAATTAAACTCAACGTTAAAAACTAGAGGTGTACTCAAAGTATTTAGCATTCGATTTTTTCGGGTACTCGATTTCTTTTCAGTCCTCGGAAATTTCCGTATGCATCAAGTATTCCGTATTTTAAATAATCTTGAACTATCTGATTCAAAAGTTGCGAAAATGGTGGTAACTTGTAAATTGTTAGTTCTAACATTTCCTCTAGGTTAATAACTTATTTAACGTTTAAATATATTTTACAAAATCAAATTTAGTAAAAATCGAACAATTTTTTTTAAATTTCATTTAATTAGATTCTTAATCAGCGACCTCAAAAACCCCCGGGTAACGATTTTTAAACGAATACGATCAGTTTTTTCAAAAGTCGTCCGCCATATTGGATCCGCCATTTTGAATTTTGAAAAACTGACATTGGATTCTTAATCAGCAACCCCGTAAACCCCCGAGTAACCAATTTTATAAAAATCCATTCATTAATTTTTATGTTAATGTGAATTTTCTTGACACGATTTTAATTCTCTGGATAAATTGTTTATAAATAACCATAACTTTTGTAAAATTTAATATTTTGTCTGGCCACTTATGGATGTCTTTATTAGTACCATTAACTTGAAGTTAAAATACTTTTCAGACCTTAAATGAGAAAAAAATGTTGTGTCCAAATTTTCTTGATTTTCGTCCTTCGTTTGTAGAATCACCCATATATATCACTATATAAAATAACATTTTTGAATAAATAAATTAATGGAAAATAAATTTTCTTTCAGTGGGAAGTTTGGTTTATGGCTGGATGGTGATTTGTACCAGGGCAGGACACAGTCTTGCAGTACATATGGTAACGAGCCGCTGGCGCCTCGTGAGGATTTTGTCGTCAAGACATTGGAATGCTGGGCATTCATATAGGATTCGGCTTTAAATTTAATGCCGTGATCTTTGTCGTCATTGGAGCCTAATTAAACCTGAAACTCAGGGCCTTTTTGTGGCGACCTCGCACCCAGTACCAGGAGAGATCAGATGAAGACTAAAAATTGACTCTAAGAGCCGGTACAAAAGGGGAGAGTGACAATTGTCGAATGGATAAAAAAAAAGCCCAGTGAAAAAAAAACAAGTCGACTCCCAAAAAATGATTGAATATTCATTTTATTCCTATCGATAATTGATGATGAAGTGCTTGAGAATGAAAAAAATATGAAGAAGAAAAGTGAAGAGAGCAAAAACTCGCCTCTTCTCTACGATAGACCTCGGCTCATAGACTTTTATTATTTTTAAATTTCTTTTTTTTTAATTTAGCAGTATTTATTTTTTTGCGTTGTACTATATATCTATATATATTCTCGCGCGTTTTCTTAATTTCTAAAACAAGAAAATTTTTCGTCGAGAAAATATTTATTCACTAATATTTTCTTTTCATGTCTAAATTTTGTTTTTTTTCTTTGAGAAGGCATTATTATTTCTTCTTTATAAAGAAAGAGAAATGGAATATTTTACTCAATGGAATCATTATTTTATCATTTTTTATGTCTTTGGCAATGATTTCCTGAGATTATTATTAAAAAGGCCGTTTTTTGCTTCATATACTACTACTAATAATAATAATAATAATAATAATATAAAAAAAGGAAAAAAAGATCGATGTGTCGCGGATATCATGATGAGATACAAAAAATAATCAAGCAAAACTAACTGTTTTTCGATGTGTAGATAATGTAGATAGTAAATGTAAATATATACATACATTACGATCGTGTTACAATGATTGTTTCGATGAGCGCTATATACAAATCCCCGAGAACTCGCGCGTGAGGAAAAATGCATTTCTTTTCTGAAATGACGTTTTTTCAACCCGGCGGGTGTCTCGTTTATTTAAGATCTGAACAGAATCATATAGCCTATATTAGATGATTCGTATAAATAAAAAAAAATTACAAAAAAAAGAAATGGAAAAAAATTATACATTGCACTGAGTGAAAAAGACAAATATATTATATTTGCTGTTTCTTGATATTAAAAAACAAACAAATAAATCTGGTACGAGAACTAACAAAATTGTAAAAAAGATTAAATTTTGTTTTTGTACTTTTTTGGGGGGGAAATTTTTGTCTGAGCTCGTGTAAGAAAAAAAATGTCATTAACAGACCACACAACGAAAAACTCGCCTGTGCCTCGCATCGTACTCTCGGAACTCTCTTCTTCAAACAGAAAAGACTTTTATTGAAAACCAAAAATCGATACAATTTTATTTTTAAGTTTTTTTTTATTTAGATTTAACGATTTTTTAATGATAAATTTATTGTGTACATAGGACTGTGATTTTATTGTATCGTTTTTACTTTTATTCTTTCCTTTTTTTGTAATCGAGAATGTGAAACACGAGGCATTTTTTTAATATCCTGTCTTTTAAGTTCAGAACAAATATATTTATATATGTATTAAATCATCGAGCACATAGTGTTTCGTGATTTAAATTTTATCCAGTGAAGTTTTTTTTCAAAAAATTTTTAAGTTTTTACAATTTTTTGATCTTAATAAAATTTGTTTTCTTTACAAACTTTAGTTGTTTTACATTTTTTTTCTTAATCCAGAATTAAATTTTCAGGTTTAGGGAAAAAATAATCCATTTTTTCACGAAGAAATTATTTTTATATTTTTCGCTATTTTTTGAAATTATTTCAATATCATTTATTTTTTTTTTTTTAAATAAATATGAGAAAAGGAAAATAGGCAGACAATTAAAATGAAGGAATATAAACCTGGAAAAAATAATATTAAAAAAATACAGAACTTTCAGTCAATTGAAGATAAGGAAATAAAGAATTTGACAAATCTAATATTTAAGAGTTGAGTAAATTTTTTAGTTGTGATAAAAAATAAGACAAAGTTTGAAACTAAAAAATGGTAATTACGATGAAAATAAAAAAATTTGAGAAAACAAAATTAAATAAAAATTCCTATGTCTAGAGGAAAATTTAAATGTAATAAGAAAGGTATAAAAAATAAAATAGACTAAAGTTGAGTTTAAAACAATTTTAATTTGCAAACAAAATTTCAAAAAATGGCAAAAAATGAAATGTTAAATAAATAAATGAAAATGAATTATTAATAAATTTGGTCCATAAAAAAATTTAATTATTCGAACATTTCTCACTGTTTTGTTGACGAGAGAACGAGAAGTCGACGCGATAATAAATGAATTAGAGCACAAAATAATTTATTGTTTAGATGGCAGCTTAGCTTTAGATTAAAACACACACACACACACACACACACTCTCACACACAAACCAAAAAAATGCAGTATGACGTGTTAATAAAATTTTAGAATCATGTCTAGAATCTAGAGTGTAATTTTAGAAAAAGAAATCTAGACATACTCTTGTGATACTAAATAGCGTTGCTTCTTGATACATTATAGAGTCGCTTTCAAGAAGGAACGTCGCTTTCTTAGAAAGTAAAACACTATTTTCCTTACGAAGTAGATTTGCAAGAAAAGTCACAGAAACAAAAAGTATGTATAAATGGTTGAGACCGATTTTAAAGCTTGAAGCGAGCTCTTTAATGGATCTTAGAAGCACGTCGGCGTAGAAATGAGTCGAGTGCAAAAAAAAACAGGAAAAAATTGCATTAATGAAAGTTCATTTTTTGAGGCAAAACTATAAAAATAAATACGGAAAAATTAATTATATACCTAATTAATAATAAAGAATAGTATTTATTTAATTATTAATTATTTCAGAGTGAAAAAATTACTTTACAATTAATTTCTTAATTATTAAATTATAAATTAATTTTCAATTAATTATTGAATACTGATAATTGCCTCAAAAATTTCACTTTCGGAAATTAATAAAGAGATTATATTTGAAATCGCTAATAAAAAGAAAATGAGAAAAATATATATTAATGCTACTGCCTCTACGCACTGTATAGAAGTTGAATTTGTTGGCGAATCGATTAAAACGTAAGCCGTGTTTTAAAAAGGAGGAAGAGAAAAACGAATAAAAACCTATCTTTGAATTGTCTCTTTGATTAAGCAGCAAAATAAAACGAACTGCTCTCGTTTTTTTATTTCGATATTTCACTCGGTGGATTTTCGATCCTCAAAATTAAAGAAAGGGATAAAATAAGTGAAAAATTATCAATGTAAAAATTTTAAGGTACTTCGTGTTTGTAAAAGGAATTAGTTTGAGTCAAAATTAAATTTTATTTTATTTTATAATTCAATTACAAAAAAGAATTTGTAAATTTTTAAGAAAATTATAATTGTCTATATTAAATCTTTTACGAAATAATTCTTTTTAACAAAATTCAAAGAGCAAACTCGAAAATATGAAATAAATCCCGCAATACTAAATATATTTAAATTATCGTTATCAATGATTTTGACTTAAACTAATTTTTTTCCTAAGAAAAATATCAAATACTTTGAAATTTGCAAATATTTTCAAAGTTAAAATGTTTTTTAGTTTCAAATCATATCAGTGGTCGAATTTACTCAAAGAGATTCGATTGTGAATACATAATTATATCATTAGAAATTGAAGCGATACGGAAGATTTTCTCGGTTTGTCTGGATTAAAGTTAATTTAGTGCCATATGTAATTTGGTTTATAATTTTCTTTTTTAATTTATATATATATAATTTTATATATTTAGTCTTAGCTTTATAAGAATTTTTATATTTCTAGAAAGTAGTTTTATGAGTTTTGAACGTTTTCTTTTTATTTATTTAAACAAAAGAGACCCTTGAATTTTCCTCATTTTTTTATTTTAAACAAGTAAAAAAAAATATTTTTAAGCAAGTAAAAAATTAAAATGAATATAAATGGAAATTTTACTTAGAAACAAATAATAATCTATCATTTCTTTATATTTATATAAATATAAACAGTTTCAATTTATAGTAATAAAAATTTAAAAAGTTCAAGCGTCTCATTCACAATTTAAGCAAGGAGGAGAAAAAAAATTAGTAATAAACAAGGAAATTTGAAAAAAATTGATTTTTGTTTCAAAACTGAATCCCACCGCTTCAATTTTTTGGCGAAAAAAATTTCCATTTGATTTAAGTACGTGTTTGTAAAAACAGAGTCGATGTGAAAGTTGTGGAGGAAATGATATAAAAAAAGGCTAAGCGTAAACGGCGCTATGTTAAATAAAATTATTAAAAAGAAAAAAAGAAAAAAAGAAAAAAAACCTAATGATGTAAAGTTAGTGTAACCTTCTAGAGTTCGATAGTAACGATTGAACACTTTGCTAATAAAGGGTGTCGTTGCGAAAAAATAAAATAACTGTCATATCTGACTCGTTCGGTTCATATTTTACATACGACGAGTCAACACAAAAATAAGCAGCAATCGATCGTTCCTCGATACAAAAATAATGAGAAATGATTATTGTGTGAAGATTTTTTCGACTGGATAAACATATAATAGAAGGCAGAAGAAAAGTTTCTTGCTATTTCTATGAGAAAATTGGTCTATTGTTGAAAAAGAAATTTACAACTCTGCTTGTGAATTTATAAAAATTAAATATTACTGTGTGTCAAACATTTGTTACAAATAAATTACTCTCTAAATCTTGTTGATATGATTATGTAGCAATAAATTTTTCTTCAAACAGGACCATAATAAGATTAATATTCAAAAAAAAATTTCTAGAAATTTTCAATTATTCTACTATTATTGTATTATTTTTTTGTTGAAAATCTGTCTAATGTCAATTAGTACCTAAAAAAATCCAGGTACCTGTAAACATTGTGATAAATAGAAAAAAGGTACCGGGAAAATTTCAGGTACGTCCCATTTTTATATTATAGAAAATTTTTCAAATAATCTTTTTTCAAAACAAAAAAGAAGAAAAAAACACTTTAGAATTATTAAGAATTGATTTTCTAGTCAATTTTACATATATTTATATATAAATTGTTGCGCGTTAAATTTGATGAGAAATTAGAATAGAGATTAAATTAAGAATTGTAATTATTTTAAGTTATGGTCCTGTTTTTTAATTTTCTATCGATTTGATTACGGCACAGAAAGCATCCATGGGCGTAGTGGGAATTTCCAATATTGCAGGAGGCGAAATTCACTAATTTAAGTATTTAATCGAGTAAATTATTCATTTTTTATTTTGTGAAAATTTACAAAAAAATCGATCTAAAAAGCGTCAATCACTTAAATTTATAAACTTTTTCGAAAATTTTCGATGACATTTATTTCAAACACCTTTATTCATTATTAATTTATTTAGAAATTGAATTTCGTTAACTTCAATTTTTAAATAAAAATTTAATTTAAAAATAATCGATGATAATAATGTAATTATCATTAAGGTTATTTTTCAAAAAATGTAGGTGTTTGAAATGATAAATTAAACTGTTCTTTAATTAACGACCAAATTGACGTGAATTTTAAATAATAATTTGTAATGTAATTCGTTTTTGCTTCATCGCAATGTTTTCTAAACATGAGGAATTACTCTTTTTCATTTTTTTATTTTTAAAGAAATATTTACAAAATTTTGTTCAAACTGTTTCAAAGATTCTAATAAAGAAATTATTTTTATTGAAAAAAAATATTTTATAAAATTTCTATTTATTTTTTAATAAATAAATTATGTAAGTAAAGAAAATTTTCATTTATAAGTTAATAAATGTTGGAGAATTATCAAATGTTTTTGAAAATAGAGTTGGAAAAAATTTCTTTTTAAAAAAAGAATAATCAAGATTGGAAAATAATTCGAGAACTCTTTTGATACGTTTTAGAAAAGATAAAACATCATAATTGTAAAATCATCCCAGCGACCAATAATGAAGCGTGATCTTTTTTCTTGCGCGCCCATTGTTAAAAAAAGTACCAAGAACAACGGGAACTTTTTCGTACATTGTCAATTAGATTCAGACTGACTGCAGGGATTGAACACGCATAAATAATGAAAAAATAAATAAATAAAAGAGAAAAAAATCTTTAAAAAAGAGAAAAAACATACACACTTTACGTTTTGATGTCTAGCTGTGTCGTCGTCGTCGTCGTCGTCATCGTCGTCATCATCGTCGTTGTAAATGTTAATTATTAACAAAAAAACAAAAGAAAACTAGAGAAAAAATATAAATTCAAAAATGAAAACTCGTAGCGAATCCGCAGGCTCGTCCTTTTTAGGGAATTGATGAAAGAAAAATTTAGCAACTTGTTAGTTCCTATGTCGAACCAGCGAATTAAAATGAAATTAATATATTTAAAAAGAAAAAATGAAAATTGACTATACAGTCACAAATTATCACTTTTTGCGTTTTGAA